CACAACTCGTCTCACAATTTGTATATACAAAAAAATAAAACAATTATATAATTATACATTCTCAATCACAAAAATTGAATAAAGTGAGATTCACCACTTCTAAACCAGAATCTTGGCTCTGTCACTACTAGCAAGCTACACACTAAACTGTTCTCCATTCATATGAGAGTGTGTGTTCCTAGAAATGCTATTTTAGATTAAAAGTTAACTTGGTCATGAGATGCTTCTTTACTAAGCGTCTTGGTTCATTTTTCTTTCATTTTCTTCTATAGATTGTTAAAAATAAAAATATAAAATACAAAATCAAAGGCACATTAATCTGTACTTCCTGTAATTGAATTGAGCTCTTAAGTGTCAATTGGATTTTGTAATTTCAATCGCATTAATTTTACTTTTGAATTTTTCACGTTATATCATTTTTTTTTATAGCCCCAAGTGAAGCCCTCTATATTTTATTAATTAAAACAATATAATTTTTTTAAAGATTAATTATAAATATGAAAATAATAATTATATCAAACTTCTCTCCATAAAATTTAAACTTATAACCTCTACACAACAACTAAGTCAAAATCATAATTTCTTAATCAAAAAACATATTATTATTATTCATTTTAATTAAGGCCACGTTTGTCTGGCGAATTAGTTTGGATGGAATTGTTAGTGAGAGAATGATTAGTAAAGAAATTGTTAATGTGAGAATTGTTAGTGAGAAGATTAAGTAAAAATATGTTTGTTTTAACGATAATGGAAAAGATAATCAATGATGGGATTGTTAAATTATTTTTACATAAAATAAAAATAAAATATTTCTATATTAAAAAAAATTTCTAAAACAAATATATATAAAAAAATAACAAATAACAAATTGCACTTGGGTTAAAAAAAAAAAAAATGCATCATCCACTACAACAAAAGTCACCTTTGGCGACTAAATTTTTAGTCGCCAAAAGTCCCTCTTTAGTCGCCAAAGTGGATTTTTCAGATTCAGCGACTAAATTTTTTAGTCGCCCATTTTGTCGCCAGTACTTAGTCGGCAGAGGTATTGGCGACTGAACAAGTTTTAGTCGGCAAAAACAGGTGTTTCAGCGACGAAAGTGATGGTCGCCAATAGTGAATTACACTTTCGGAAATTATACATTCAGCGACTAATATTTTAGTCGCTGATAGCCATGAATCGCCGACCAAAGTGATTAGTCGCCCAAAGCAACACTTTTGGCGACGACTAATTTTAGTCGCCAAAGGTAATCCGTGAAAAAAAAAAAAAACCTTATTTCTTTGCATTTTCTGAGTTTTGAACCACTGACTTCGCCATACATTCTAAACCTTTAACCAAACACTCCCTCCACTATGCCACTATAACATCACATGAATGTATATGCAATATATATTATTTATATAGTATATTAATTGGTATTAATACAAAACTAATTATATAAATATAATTATTTTTATTCAATATAAATTATGTAAAAAATAAATTATTTATTAAAAAAAAATTTAGGCCACTTTTGGCGACTAAAACCATTATTTAGTCGCCAATTCTATTATTTTGGGCTACTAATGATTTTTTTGTCGCTAAAAAAATTAGTTCCAATTAAAAATATGCAGTTTTGGCGACTAAACCTGTTTTTAGTCGCCAAAACGTCACCTTTTGGCTACTAAACTGAATTTTAGTCGCCAATACTCAGTTTTTAGCTACTAATTTTTTTTTGGTAGCCAAAAAGCTTCACTTTCAGCGACCAATATGTTTTTAGTCGGCAAAACACCTACAATGGGCGACTAATCTGTTTTTTAGTCGCCAAAACCATCACTTTTGGCGACTAAATTATTTTAGTAGCCGAAAACTGTCACATTCGGCGACTAAACTACCTTTAGTCGCTAAAACCCCCAGATTGGGCGACTAAAGTGCCTTTTAGTCGCTAAAAACCTTGTATTCGGCGACTAAACTGTTTTAGTCGGCAAAAGTGACCAATTTTGGCGACTAATTCCATTTTAGTCGCCAATTCTACTACTTTCAGCGACGAAAAAAGAAACTTTAGTCGCCAATTCTGCTATTTGTTGTAGTGATCATCCCCTCACTATTTTCTCAATCCTAGCCCATATGAGGGCAACTTAATCCTATTGGGGGTGTGGGAGTAATACTGGAGTAGCAATCTCCCTCCACATGGAATCTCCCTCCACAAGGAAGCCACCAACAAGCTTTAGTGGGACCCACCTCCTCACTACTCCATTTCCACTCCGTAATTTGCAAAACAAACATGACCTAAGAGTTTATTACACTTTAAATGAGATGCATAAGAGATACACACAGAGATGTTCCTATGGACATTAGGTGCGCCACTAGTAGTTTGTAGGTTGTAGCATGGGCCTAAGGATCCACAAATAACAATGAAAATTGAAAAATAACACCTAATAATACAGTACAGATATTAAAATTGTGAATCTAATATTGCCCTTCTTCAATTTAGAAAAGTTTGACAGAAAACAAACACTTCTCAATATTCAATAGTGACACATAAACCTATCTGATATCTAAAAATATTGAAACTTGTGACCACTGCAACTTGGATCATTATATAATGTCAAACCAATGCAACCTCAATCTCAATCCCAGTAACAAGCAATATTAGAATAAAGTTTCCAAGGCTTGGGTCAAGGCATTGAACTACTACTACGATATTATCCTATTCTTCTTATAATTATAACGAGAATGATATCTCAATCCCAGTAACAAGCAATATTAGAATAAAGTTTCTAAGGCTTGGGTCAAGGCATTGAACTTCTACTATGATATTCTCTTTATAATTATAACGAGAATGATATCTACATACATGGTGAAATATTTTCCCCACTAACCACTGTATTGGGCTTGAAAACACTAGTACACTTACTACAAAGGCCACACTTGGCAAGTGAAAAAACAAAACGAGTATTTATACTTGGTTGTATTGAGTTGTACATAATAGTAAAGTGATCTTGTATTTTCAGTCGGTGACTCTTATACTTCGGCCATAGAAGTGAGATGAAGCAACTCATAGCACCATAGTTGGCTTGAGCCAAGGCCTTGGCTTTGCCCTAAACTTTTTTGATCTAGCACTTCTGGTAGACGTGAGAGGCGGAGGCAGAGGTGGTAGTGGAGAGCCTCCGCCAAGCTTAGAAAGGGTGGCGTTGCTTTCAGAGTTAGGGTTAAGAGGCGAAGGTGGAAGTGGAGGCGACAATGGAGGGCCTCTGCCAAGCTTGGGAAGGGTGACACTGCTTTTAGAGTCAGGGATGGAAGGCGAAGGCGGCTTCAGGATCACGGGTAGGAGGTATAGGCAGAGGTGGCCGTAGAGGGCCTCCTCCAAGCTTAGGAAGGGTGACACTGCTTTTAGGGTCACAGGTGGGAAATTTATTGCTGTCATCGTCTCCGCCACTACAGCAAGCAACCATTTTCTTGTAGGTTTCCAAATAATTCTTCCACACAATTCCTAATCAGATCAGAACACTAGAAGCAGATGAATGCCGATAGTAGGGAAGCCACATGTCACGACTTTGGTTATTTTCAAGCGTTCCGTGTGGCATTTAGACGCTTACTGTGATATCCCTGTTCCGTAATATATTAATTGGTCCTTAACATGAATGTGATTATGTGTTTAATATGATTTTGTGTGCCATTATGTGAAAATATGTGGTTTTGAATTTCTATCTATTCACCGTAGGAATATCTGTTTGATTATCTGCTTTAGAAATTAATTGAAGGCCTTATCGGCCACAAAATCCGAAATTGATTACGCCATTGCGATTAGCGTAATTTTTAGAGCCTACGGTGAAATTTAATTGAAAATTGATTCGGATCAGATTAATTGGATTAATTTATTGAATTAGTACCCAATTATTTATTATTATTAAATTGGTGCTGGTGGGAACTTATGTAAAGAGGCACTATACACTTAATTGGTACACTTGAGCTCAAAAATCTGATTTTGTGCCTTGAGAGAGAGAGAGCCGGCTATAGAGAGAGAAAGGGAGAGAATTGTGTAATCTTGGCTCAAGGCTGGGGAATTTGAAGATTAAACTCAAAAATTGGCTAGAGTTTGGGGGTTTGAAGCTCCTAGGTAAGTGAATTCATGAATTTTAAGTTATCATCTTGTGAATCCAAGTTTGATTAATGGTCAAGAACATGAGTTTAATTGAGTATGATGAAATTGAGTTGGTTTTGTTGAATTGAAGGTCAATGTATGCATACATGTGTGTAATTGCTTTGAAATTGCATGTTTGAGCATAAATGTATAATCCATATGAGATTTTAGTTAAAGCTCATGCTTTTGACCATCTCTTCATCATCTAAGTTGAGAATGAGAGTAAAATGTCACATGCATGTACAATTCATAAGGGTGTAAGTGTTGAATGCATGGAATTGTTGTGTTAGAAACAAGTTTGGTGTAAATAAAACATGCATGTGATTAATTTGTAGAATTGAGCTTCGTAATGTTATAATTTGGTGTTTATACCATGTTAGTGCTTGTATATGTGGAATTTGAGCCAAAAACATGCATTTAGAGCCTTTGAATATCAAGTTGAAGCTTAAGAACATGTTCTGGATTTTCCAAAATTTTGATGTCCGCTCGAGCAGGGAAACCGCCGCACAAGTGTGAAATTCGTGTTTCCAGTATTTTCTGCAGACATGGTGTACGCTCGAGCCCGGAAGTTCACGCTCGAGCGGAGAGCCATGTAGAAAGGCCTTCCGCTCGAGCGCCAGAGTTCGAGATCGAGCGTAAATTTGACATATCCAGTACTTTTGCAGGCCTCGTGGGTCCGTTCGAGCGGGGAAGTCCACGCTTGAGCGGAGACCCTGTTTTCTGAAATTTTGAAAAGACATTCTGTGTTTCATTTTCTGCTCTCTTTCACTTCCAAGTACTCTTAGGCATGCATTGAGCATTGTAATTGAGTTAAAGAGATAAGAATGAAGCCTAAAGAGGAATATGTGAATTTAGAACGGATTGAATTGTTTGTGACCCTTTTCTCCGCCGCCTTATGTCCCCAACCCTCCAATAGTAAAGCCGCCGCCTTACGTCCCCAACCCTCCAATAGTAAAGCCGCCTTATGTCCCCAGCCCTCCAATAGTAAAACCACCTTCTCCGCCGCCTTATGTCCCCAACCCTCCAATAGTAAAGCCGCCGCCTTACGTCCCCAACCCTCCAATAGTAAAGCCGCCTTATGTCCCCAGCCCTCCAATAGTAAAACCACCTTCTCCGCCGCCTTATGTCCCCAACCCTCCAATAGTAAAGCCGCCGCCTTACGTCCCCAACCCTCCAATAGTAAAGCCGCCTTATGTCCCCAGCCCTCCAATAGTAAAACCACCTTCTCCGCCGCCTTATGTCCCCAACCCTCCAATAGTAAAGCCGCCGCCTTACGTCCCCAACCCTCCAATAGTAAAGCCGCCTTATGTCCCCAGCCCTCCAATAGTAAAACCACCTTCTCCGCCGCCTTATGTCCCCAACCCTCCAATAGTAAAGCCGCCGCCTTACGTCCCCAACCCTCCAATAGTAAAGCCGCCTTATGTCCCCAGCCCTCCAATAGTAAAACCACCTTCTCCGCCGCCTTATGTCCCCAACCCTCCAATAGTAAAGCCGCCGCCTTACGTCCCCAACCCTCCAATAGTAAAGCCGCCTTATGTCCCCAGCCCTCCAATAGTAAAACCACCTTCTCCGCCGCCTTATGTCCCCAACCCTCCAATAGTAAAGCCGCCGCCTTACGTCCCCAACCCTCCAATAGTAAAGCCGCCTTATGTCCCCAGCCCTCCAATAGTAAAACCACCTTCTCCGCCGCCTTATGTCCCCAACCCTCCAATAGTAAAGCCGCCGCCTTACGTCCCCAACCCTCCAATAGTAAAGCCGCCTTATGTCCCCAGCCCTCCAATAGTAAAACCACCTTCTCCGCCGCCTTATGTCCCCAACCCTCCAATAGTAAAGCCGCCGCCTTACGTCCCCAACCCTCCAATAGTAAAGCCGCCTTATGTCCCCAGCCCTCCAATAGTAAAACCACCTTCTCCGCCGCCTTATGTCCCCAACCCTCCAATAGTAAAGCCGCCGCCTTACGTCCCCAACCCTCCAATAGTAAAGCCGCCTTATGTCCCCAGCCCTCCAATAGTAAAACCACCTTCTCCGCCGCCTTATGTCCCCAACCCTCCAATAGTAAAGCCGCCGCCTTACGTCCCCAACCCTCCAATAGTAAAGCCGCCTTATGTCCCCAGCCCTCCAATAGTAAAACCACCTTCTCCGCCGCCTTATGTCCCCAACCCTCCAATAGTAAAGCCGCCGCCTTACGTCCCCAACCCTCCAATAGTAAAGCCGCCTTATGTCCCCAGCCCTCCAATAGTAAAACCACCTTCTCCGCCGCCTTATGTCCCCAACCCTCCAATAGTAAAGCCGCCGCCTTACGTCCCCAACCCTCCAATAGTAAAGCCGCCTTATGTCCCCAGCCCTCCAATAGTAAAACCACCTTCTCCGCCGCCTTATGTCCCCAACCCTCCAATAGTAAAGCCGCCGCCTTACGTCCCCAACCCTCCAATAGTAAAGCCGCCTTATGTCCCCAGCCCTCCAATAGTAAAACCACCTTCTCCGCCGCCTTATGTCCCCAACCCTCCAATAGTAAAGCCGCCGCCTTACGTCCCCAACCCTCCAATAGTAAAGCCGCCTTATGTCCCCAGCCCTCCAATAGTAAAACCACCTTCTCCGCCGCCTTATGTCCCCAACCCTCCAATAGTAAAGCCGCCGCCTTACGTCCCCAACCCTCCAATAGTAAAGCCGCCTTATGTCCCCAGCCCTCCAATAGTAAAACCACCTTCTCCGCCGCCTTATGTCCCCAACCCTCCAATAGTAAAGCCGCCGCCTTACGTCCCCAACCCTCCAATAGTAAAGCCGCCTTATGTCCCCAGCCCTCCAATAGTAAAACCACCTTCTCCGCCGCCTTATGTCCCCAACCCTCCAATAGTAAAGCCGCCGCCTTACGTCCCCAACCCTCCAATAGTAAAGCCGCCTTATGTCCCCAGCCCTCCAATAGTAAAACCACCTTCTCCGCCGCCTTATGTCCCCAACCCTCCAATAGTAAAGCCGCCGCCTTACGTCCCCAACCCTCCAATAGTAAAGCCGCCTTATGTCCCCAGCCCTCCAATAGTAAAACCACCTTCTCCGCCGCCTTATGTCCCCAACCCTCCAATAGTAAAGCCGCCGCCTTACGTCCCCAACCCTCCAATAGTAAAGCCGCCTTATGTCCCCAGCCCTCCAATAGTAAAACCACCTTCTCCGCCGCCTTATGTCCCCAACCCTCCAATAGTAAAGCCGCCGCCTTACGTCCCCAACCCTCCAATAGTAAAGCCGCCTTATGTCCCCAGCCCTCCAATAGTAAAACCACCTTCTCCGCCGCCTTATGTCCCCAACCCTCCAATAGTAAAGCCGCCGCCTTACGTCCCCAACCCTCCAATAGTAAAGCCGCCTTATGTCCCCAGCCCTCCAATAGTAAAACCACCTTCTCCGCCGCCTTATGTCCCCAACCCTCCAATAGTAAAGCCGCCGCCTTACGTCCCCAACCCTCCAATAGTAAAGCCGCCTTATGTCCCCAGCCCTCCAATAGTAAAACCACCTTCTCCGCCGCCTTATGTCCCCAACCCTCCAATAGTAAAGCCGCCGCCTTACGTCCCCAACCCTCCAATAGTAAAGCCGCCTTATGTCCCCAGCCCTCCAATAGTAAAACCACCTTCTCCGCCGCCTTATGTCCCCAACCCTCCAATAGTAAAGCCGCCGCCTTACGTCCCCAACCCTCCAATAGTAAAGCCGCCTTATGTCCCCAGCCCTCCAATAGTAAAACCACCTTCTCCGCCGCCTTATGTCCCCAACCCTCCAATAGTAAAGCCGCCGCCTTACGTCCCCAACCCTCCAATAGTAAAGCCGCCTTATGTCCCCAGCCCTCCAATAGTAAAACCACCTTCTCCGCCGCCTTATGTCCCCAACCCTCCAATAGTAAAGCCGCCGCCTTACGTCCCCAACCCTCCAATAGTAAAGCCGCCTTATGTCCCCAGCCCTCCAATAGTAAAACCACCTTCTCCGCCGCCTTATGTCCCCAACCCTCCAATAGTAAAGCCGCCGCCTTACGTCCCCAACCCTCCAATAGTAAAGCCGCCTTATGTCCCCAGCCCTCCAATAGTAAAACCACCTTCTCCGCCGCCTTATGTCCCCAACCCTCCAATAGTAAAGCCGCCGCCTTACGTCCCCAACCCTCCAATAGTAAAGCCGCCTTATGTCCCCAGCCCTCCAATAGTAAAACCACCTTCTCCGCCGCCTTATGTCCCCAACCCTCCAATAGTAAAGCCGCCGCCTTACGTCCCCAACCCTCCAATAGTAAAGCCGCCTTATGTCCCCAGCCCTCCAATAGTAAAACCACCTTCTCCGCCGCCTTATGTCCCCAACCCTCCAATAGTAAAGCCGCCGCCTTACGTCCCCAACCCTCCAATAGTAAAGCCGCCTTATGTCCCCAGCCCTCCAATAGTAAAACCACCTTCTCCGCCGCCTTATGTCCCCAACCCTCCAATAGTAAAGCCGCCGCCTTACGTCCCCAACCCTCCAATAGTAAAGCCGCCTTATGTCCCCAGCCCTCCAATAGTAAAACCACCTTCTCCGCCGCCTTATGTCCCCAACCCTCCAATAGTAAAGCCGCCGCCTTACGTCCCCAACCCTCCAATAGTAAAGCCGCCTTATGTCCCCAGCCCTCCAATAGTAAAACCACCTTCTCCGCCGCCTTATGTCCCCAACCCTCCAATAGTAAAGCCGCCGCCTTACGTCCCCAACCCTCCAATAGTAAAGCCGCCTTATGTCCCCAGCCCTCCAATAGTAAAACCACCTTCTCCGCCGCCTTATGTCCCCAACCCTCCAATAGTAAAGCCGCCGCCTTACGTCCCCAACCCTCCAATAGTAAAGCCGCCTTATGTCCCCAGCCCTCCAATAGTAAAACCACCTTCTCCGCCGCCTTATGTCCCCAACCCTCCAATAGTAAAGCCGCCGCCTTACGTCCCCAACCCTCCAATAGTAAAGCCGCCTTATGTCCCCAGCCCTCCAATAGTAAAACCACCTTCTCCGCCGCCTTATGTCCCCAACCCTCCAATAGTAAAGCCGCCGCCTTACGTCCCCAACCCTCCAATAGTAAAGCCGCCTTATGTCCCCAGCCCTCCAATAGTAAAACCACCTTCTCCGCCGCCTTATGTCCCCAACCCTCCAATAGTAAAGCCGCCGCCTTACGTCCCCAACCCTCCAATAGTAAAGCCGCCTTATGTCCCCAGCCCTCCAATAGTAAAACCACCTTCTCCGCCGCCTTATGTCCCCAACCCTCCAATAGTAAAGCCGCCGCCTTACGTCCCCAACCCTCCAATAGTAAAGCCGCCTTATGTCCCCAGCCCTCCAATAGTAAAACCACCTTCTCCGCCGCCTTATGTCCCCAACCCTCCAATAGTAAAGCCGCCGCCTTACGTCCCCAACCCTCCAATAGTAAAGCCGCCTTATGTCCCCAGCCCTCCAATAGTAAAACCACCTTCTCCGCCGCCTTATGTCCCCAACCCTCCAATAGTAAAGCCGCCGCCTTACGTCCCCAACCCTCCAATAGTAAAGCCGCCTTATGTCCCCAGCCCTCCAATAGTAAAACCACCTTCTCCGCCGCCTTATGTCCCCAACCCTCCAATAGTAAAGCCGCCGCCTTACGTCCCCAACCCTCCAATAGTAAAGCCGCCTTATGTCCCCAGCCCTCCAATAGTAAAACCACCTTCTCCGCCGCCTTATGTCCCCAACCCTCCAATAGTAAAGCCGCCGCCTTACGTCCCCAACCCTCCAATAGTAAAGCCGCCTTATGTCCCCAGCCCTCCAATAGTAAAACCACCTTCTCCGCCGCCTTATGTCCCCAACCCTCCAATAGTAAAGCCGCCGCCTTACGTCCCCAACCCTCCAATAGTAAAGCCGCCTTATGTCCCCAGCCCTCCAATAGTAAAACCACCTTCTCCGCCGCCTTATGTCCCCAACCCTCCAATAGTAAAGCCGCCGCCTTACGTCCCCAACCCTCCAATAGTAAAGCCGCCTTATGTCCCCAGCCCTCCAATAGTAAAACCACCTTCTCCGCCGCCTTATGTCCCCAACCCTCCAATAGTAAAGCCGCCGCCTTACGTCCCCAACCCTCCAATAGTAAAGCCGCCTTATGTCCCCAGCCCTCCAATAGTAAAACCACCTTCTCCGCCGCCTTATGTCCCCAACCCTCCAATAGTAAAGCCGCCGCCTTACGTCCCCAACCCTCCAATAGTAAAGCCGCCTTATGTCCCCAGCCCTCCAATAGTAAAACCACCTTCTCCGCCGCCTTATGTCCCCAACCCTCCAATAGTGAAGCCGCCGCCTTACGTCCCCAACCCTCCAATAGTAAAGCCGCCTTATGTCCCCAGCCCTCCAATAGTAAAACCACCTTCTCCGCCGCCTTATGTCCCCAACCCTCCAATAGTGAAGCCGCCGCCTTACGTCCCCAACCCTCCAATAGTAAAGCCGCCTTATGTCCCCAGCCCTCCAATAGTAAAACCACCTTCTCCGCCGCCTTATGTCCCCAACCCTCCAATAGTGAAGCCGCCGCCTTACGTCCCCAACCCTCCAATAGTAAAGCCGCCTTATGTCCCCAGCCCTCCAATAGTAAAACCACCTTCTCCGCCGCCTTATGTCCCCAACCCTCCAATAGTGAAGCCGCCGCCTTACGTCCCCAACCCTCCAATAGTAAAGCCGCCTTATGTCCCCAGCCCTCCAATAGTAAAACCACCTTCTCCGCCGCCTTATGTCCCCAACCCTCCAATAGTGAAGCCGCCGCCTTACGTCCCCAACCCTCCAATAGTAAAGCCGCCTTATGTCCCCAGCCCTCCAATAGTAAAACCACCTTCTCCGCCGCCTTATGTCCCCAACCCTCCAATAGTGAAGCCGCCGCCTTACGTCCCCAACCCTCCAATAGTAAAGCCGCCTTATGTCCCCAGCCCTCCAATAGTAAAACCACCTTCTCCGCCGCCTTATGTCCCCAACCCTCCAATAGTGAAGCCGCCGCCTTACGTCCCCAACCCTCCAATAGTAAAGCCGCCTTATGTCCCCAGCCCTCCAATAGTAAAACCACCTTCTCCGCCGCCTTATGTCCCCAACCCTCCAATAGTGAAGCCGCCGCCTTACGTCCCCAACCCTCCAATAGTAAAGCCGCCTTATGTCCCCAGCCCTCCAATAGTAAAACCACCTTCTCCGCCGCCTTATGTCCCCAACCCTCCAATAGTGAAGCCGCCGCCTTACGTCCCCAACCCTCCAATAGTAAAGCCGCCTTATGTCCCCAGCCCTCCAATAGTAAAACCACCTTCTCCGCCGCCTTATGTCCCCAACCCTCCAATAGTGAAGCCGCCGCCTTACGTCCCCAACCCTCCAATAGTAAAGCCGCCGCCTTATGTCCCCAGCCCTCCGATAGTAAACCCACCTTCTCCACCAATTGTGGTGCCACCACCACCGACACCAATTGTGATGCCTCCTTCTCCCCCGGTTGAAAAGCCATGTCCTCCTCCTCCGCCGCCAGAAACGCCATGTCCACCACCACCCCCAATGGTGGTGCCATACCCTCCTCCGGCACAACAAACGTGCCCAATCGACACTCTCAAACTAGGCGCGTGTGTGGACGTGTTAAGTGGCCTAATTCATATTGGAATCGGAAGCAGCGCTAAGGACACTTGTTGTCCAGTGTTGCAAGGACTAGTGGACTTGGATGCAGCTGTATGTCTTTGCACAACCATTAAGGCAAAGCTGCTGAATATTAGCATTATTATACCAATTGCTCTTCAAGTCCTTCTAGACTGTGGGAAGACACCTCCTTCTGGTTTCCAGTGTTCTGCTTAAGCTTGTTAAGGTACAGCTGCAAAACTTCCACACCCAATAAAATCCAGCACTCTGAACCCAGTTATGTATTTACTAGTCTTCTTATTTATTTATTTTTATTTTTGTTTTTGTTTTGTTTTTTGTTTTTTTGTTTATGTGTTTGTAAGCTGTTGATCCTATACAATATCAAATGGATTTTGTATGGGAACTGTTTGTTGTATGAAAAAATAGATCTGCTATGCAGAGGATTGCTTGCAATAATAATGATCTGTGTGGGAGATTGATTCCAAGACTTTGCAGCTGACCTTTTTTCTTTTTTTTTTTTTCCCTTTTTTTTTTTGGCAAAAAAAAAAAAAACCTTTTTATTGATGAAAATTTAAGCGAAGAGAACAAAAATTACATCAATAAAAATGAGGGCAAAGGGAAGGGACTGACAAATTGCATCATGGCTAAACATCCATGATCACTCTTTTGAGTTTGGTAATAATTCATTCAAAACCACTATTATTATGGCATTAATCCTCCATATAATGAAAGAAAATAATGATAAATTATATTTTGTCCATTTTATGTTTTGTTTTTTTTGTTTTTTTTTTCACTTTAGCCCTTAGAATTATTTATTTATTTATATTTATTTTTTCTCACTTTGGACCTTAATGTTTCAAGTTTTTTTTTCCTAAAACTAATTTCTATTAAAAATTAGAAAAAAAATGATACATTGACAGTCAAATAGTATAAAAATATTTTATTATATGCTGTTCACAAGTTGACATATACTCAAACATCAATGTAATAATAATTTTTTTTTATATAAACTCAAATATCAACATAATAATAATTTTTTTTATATTATGTGACAATTATTGTGCCATTTTTCTGTCTAATTTTGAATAGAAATTAATTTTATAAGTAAACTAGAAAAAAATTAATACATAAAGGGGCAAAGTAGGAAAAAAAAAAATGTAAAGGTAAAAGTGAAAATGTGACCAACGGGATAAAATGTTCTTTATTCAAAAAATAATAATGGCAAATTGTAGCAACCCGCCCCAAAGCCTAGCAGAAAAGATTGTGCCATGTTTGGCAAGTTGAGTTTTAGCTTTCTTTTTTTTAGATTAAAATTTACAAAAAGAGAAAATAGATTAAAATAGTTAATAAGACAAAATGTCATATCAAATCCATAATCATTTCACTTTTTCTCTCACAAATATTACATCCAACTATAAAAAGATTCAACCATCTTCCCAAATACAAAAATTTTAGTTTACTAAAGCTAAAATTAAAATAACCTACTAAAATAGCCAACTTCCAGAACGAGTCCTATAAGTAAAGGAGGGAGCTTCTCTCTAGTCCACACAGTGGACTGGAGCGTCCTGTTAGACTTGTGGATCTCGTTATAGGTCCTCGTTTTGATAATTCGAACCGTTAAATATGTAGAGCTCGTCAAGTACTTTATGCTTACAAAAAATTACTTTGATCGGATATCGGTAGCCCCTGGATCGAAACACATTTTTGTCAATGGTAAATACGATTTTAAAACTAATTATTAACAAAAATGTGTTCCGATCAAGAGGCTACTGATATTCGATCAACGTGATTTTTTGCAGTCATGAAGTACTCGACGAGTTCTACATATTGACGGTTCAGATTATCGAAATAAGACCCATGGTAGGTCTTACGAACCCAACAGTACACTCTAGAAAATTACGAGGACTGAAAAGAAATCTCTCCCCCTAAGTAAAATATGAAATAATACTTATATTAATAATAAATTTTAATAATTAAATATTTAAATCTATACAAATATCAATTATAAATAGAGAAATAGAATGTAAATTAATAAAATATATTTGATATATCAAATCATTATTTTTAATTATTTATTTATTATGGTTGATTACATTTGGCAAAATTTTTTTAGTTGGCTTTTTAAAGTTGGGACTTTTTAAGCTGGGACTTTTTAAGCTTTGGATTAAAAAGTCTGTTTGGTAAGACTTTTTGTTTGTTTTTTTTTGATTTTGTGAGGAAAAAAATTTGAAATAATTATGATTTGAATGTGACATTTTATCTTATTAACTTAGACTGTTTTATATTTTATGTTTTCTTAATAGAAAAATTAGTCTAAGGACCTTATCCCATTTTTAGTAATAGATAAAGTCCACAATATTATTTTGTGATGTCTAAGATCCCTCAACCCTAACCTCATATGTCACAGAGAAATTTGATTCTATTCCATGCCAACTTCCAAAACCCCCCTCTCTCTCTCTCTCTCTCTCTCTAACTCCATGGGAGCTCATCGATCCTTGGTGATTCGTTCATTAATCTCAGCAATCATTCTTCTTCTTCTTCCCTACAATGCTTACTCCTTGTACCTTCCTGGTGTCACTCCTTAGGACTTTGACAAGGTCACTTCTCTCTCTCTCTCTCTCTCTCTCTCTTTCATTTTGAATTCACTATGTGTTAGTACGGTCTAGGATTTCATATTTTCCACTTTCTTTGCTCTCTTTCTATTTTGAAAATACTTGATTTGCATCTATTTCCCAAATCTCTGTTGGTAGTGATCTCACATTATCAAAAATTGATTACTTCGTCAAAAAACAACTGGAAGACGACTGAAGATCAAACACAAAAAGAATAAGGTCAAGCTCGCAGTCTTGCAGTTCTACAAGGTTGATGACTTCGCAAGGTTCAAAGGCTGAGGAAGGAGTGCCCCAACGTCGAGTATGTGAGGAAATCAGATTGAATTTTCTCTGGACTGTGTGAATTTTCTCTGGACTGTGTAAATTTTATCTGAATGTGTGAATTTTCTCTGGATTATGAATTTTCTCTAGATTGTGAATTTTCTCTAGATGTGTGAATTTTCTCTAAATCTGTGAATCTTCTTTGGATCATTACTCTTTTTTTTTTTTTTTTTCAAAATCTAGAACGCTACATAATAATTATGATTCTACAATCAGTAGGACAATCAGAAGTATTTTAATCACTGTAGAACTGTAGTCTGAGCAGAATTCTAAGACATAATAAATTTGTGTATTTAAAAAAACAAAGCAAATTAAAAATAATCTATTTTATTACCTGTAGTGCTCGAATAAATTTTTGTTAAAGCTCGCCCATTGACTTTTTCTCTTTATTGTCCATGCTACAGCATGGCAAGATCTTACTGTCAACCACCTTATCTTGTCAGACTTGACCTGCAAGGAGCATTGGGATTATTAGCAAATAAAATTTTTGCAACAACCCTCCATGAAAAGGTATTTGTAAGAGTAGATATAAAATGCATGATGATGCAGAGTTCCTTGAACTGTGTGAATTTTCTCTAGACTATTTAAGGTTGCGTTTGGTAGAGTTTTCTAAATATGATTTGAGAGTAGGAGTTGTATTTTGAGTTTGTGAGTTTTGAAATTATGATTTGAGTGTAGAAAATTTGTTTGGTTATGGTTTTTAAATATAGTGTTGAGTTGAGTTTTGAATTATATGTGAAATTGAGTTTTGAAAGTTTGATGTGACATGTAAAATAAGAAAATTTATTTAGTGATGAGTTTTCAAAACTTAATTCAACTTATAATTGATAATCAAACACACAAAATTAATAGAACAATTAAAATTAATAACAAAACCATTATTTGAATAAAATGAATTTTTTTTTTCTCTTAATTATAAAAAAAAATTCGTATAAAAATTAATAAAAAAAATTTCGTATAAAAATTAATAAAAAAAAATAATATATATTTTAAATTATCTTTTAACTGAGTATAACCAATCACAATAATTTCTTTTAATTATATTGTTATCAAACTATCTATCTATCTATCTATCTTATCTATGTATCTGTTTTTCCATCTTCTATACTTCTATATCTATCTTTCTATCTTCTATATCTATCTATGGAAAATGCCTCCGACCCCCAGTGGGGGTACTGGGGGTCGCATGTGATTGGTGGAAAAAAAAAAACTGTTATTTTTTTTTTTGTTTTCGGCCAATGTGGAGGCGACACCTCACTGGGGGTCGTCAGTGGGGGTCGCCCCACTGGGTGTAGGAATCACAGCCCATCTATCTACCTAGCTAAAGGGAGGACTTGAGTTGGTGTTTATTCCAACAAAAATGCTTTGGAACCCCAATTTTGAAGGACCCCCAGTGACCCCCAGTGATGTGGCAGCATGTGATTGGCTGAAATTTTTTTTTTTTTATGTATCTGTTTTTCCATCTTCTATACTTCTATATCTATCTTTCTATCTTCTATATCTATCTATCTAGCTAAAGGGAGGACTTGAGTTGGTGTTTATTCCAAAACGCTCCGATATCAGTTACATGAGCATTTATGCCCCAAAATTCAAAAAACAAAAAATGATCATATTTGCATGTATCACGTGTGCTACCACTTCTAGTATGTGTTACACATGTAGATTGGCCATACATCCCTGAATTTTTGTTAATAAAAAATAAATTCAAAATCACATGTTTACCATCATTTGAAAAAATTAATAACAAAACCATTATTTGAATAAAATGAAAAAAAAAAATACTTATTTCGTATAAAAATTAAAATTAATAACAAAACCATTATTTGAATAAAATGAAAAAAAAAATTAATAAAAAACTTTTCGTCTAAAAATTAATAAAAAAATAAAAATTAATAACAAAACCATTATTTTAATAAAATGAAAAAAAAATTTAATGAACATCATAAACTGAATGAATATCATAAACTACAATTTCTGCATGCATTATTCAACTATCAACAAAAAAAAGTGTTTGTCCATACATATTATACATTGCATCAATAACATATTAAGTGTCTTCATTCACATAATTATATTTTGTTGATTGACCATGCGATGCTGTTTGGGAAAGAAATTTGATTTGGGTTCTCTTTCCTTTAATTGCCATTTAGCCCAATCCTTGTCCTCATTGTCAGTTATCCTACAAAAAGAAAAAAAAAAGTCAAAAAATTCACAGTTACAAAAAGTGGGGGAAGTTATGTAATAAATGTGTCATAATAATTGAAACTAGTAAAATAATTATACATTTTCAACCATTAATCGCTACGAAATGCACTTGCCTTGTTCACATCACAAATCTAGTCATGGCCAACATGATTTTGCCACATAACAGTAGCAATTGCATCTCTAAAGTTTGATTGGTACGTCAACCCATGTTGTGACATGTCAACATAGTCAGCTTGGTCTGCAACAAACTCGTCTGCTTCTGCTTCTGCCGTCATTTTATTATCAGTTTCCATGAAGAATGGGTCCATATCTACATGCAAACGAATCCAATTGTGCAGTACACAACA